AGGGGTTTACTTTAGCATTCGACAGGTAACAATGCAGGCAATGCGAATTGCGGCGATCGGACGCGTCGACTCTCCGAATTGCGAAGCTTATGCGCGCGGGAGTGCGAATTGTGCAAAAGGCCACCCTAAGGCTCAGGAAGGTCCTATAGGGAATCCCTTTTGGGTTTCCTCATGTTGGTTTCATCCTTCTAAGTGCTAGAAGTTGATACCACACACGTGAAACTCCAGAAGGGGACGGAAGCGGGTTGAATTTCTAGAATAATGCGGGTCCCATTTCTAAGGTTCTAAGATAGTCGAAGGGAGACCCCTAAGGCTAGATCCTAACTCCTACGAGAAATACTAGACCTCACGAAAAATGAGGTAAACAGAGGTTGATAAAGAAGTTGAGTGAGAGTGTTAATAGTAAAAGCGATATAGGGTCTGGTGATAGTTAACTATTGTAAGGAACCAATTAGTTGTCTATAAAGAGTAGAATGATTGAATGGCTGATTAGAGTCAAGAGAAAATAAAGAGGAGTCATAGGATTGGTAACAGGTTTGCATTCAGTCATTCCAACTATATAAAGAATTCCCTTGGATAAGAAGTTTACTTGAGATGAATCCCATAAGAAGTATGTTGTATATTAATGCCTAGGAACGTAGATACGGTCCAAGAATTTTCATAGAAAATGTTTTATGAAGATTTGTTAATATATGTTAAAAAGTATGTGAGTCATTTCCAATCAATAAGATATCATCAACATATAGAAGGAGATAAATACAATTTTCTTGATTTTGTAGATGCAAAGAGAAGGATTAGCGTGGCTATGAGTAAAACTAAATTTGACAAGATAATAGGTGAAAGTGTTATACCATTGTTGTGAAGCTTGTTTAAGACCGTAAATAATTTTTTTTAGTAAGCACACATGATTGGGATGATTAGGATCAACGAAACACGAAGTTTGGCTCATATACACAATTTCTTGAAGTTGGCCATATAGAAAGACGTTGGAGACATCCATTTGAAGAACTGGCCCCTTATGATGAAGAGCAACAATTAATAGAAGTCTGATTACAGGAAGTTTAACCACAAGACTGAAGGTTTCAGTGTAGTTAAGACAAAACTCTTGTTGATAACCTTGAGCCACAAGTCTGGCTTTATACCTAGCCACAAACCCATCTTGATGTCTTTTGATTTCGTATGTCCATTTACTACCCAATATGGGTTGATCATTAGGTGAAGGAGTTAGAATCCAAGTGTGCTGAGAGAGGAGAGCCTAAACTTCAGAATTCATAGCATCCCGCAACTGTGAATCCTTTACAACTTGTTGAAATTGGAAGGTTCTAATTCAGATTTTTGTTAAATCACACACTCTTTTACTAGGTAAAGATACGATTTAGATCTTGTGAGCATGGGACGGGGTGGATTGGAAGTGAGAATAGAGGTTTGAGTATGGACGGGCTGCTCCAATGTAGGATCGAATGAGTTGAGGTAAGTGGTAGCAGAAACAGACTGGTTTGTAAAAGGAGATGAAGGCTAAGAGTTGATCAAAGTGAGTGGTTGATTAATGACAGATTGGGAACGTGTCTTTCTTGGAATTGTGTTCGGTAGAAGGAGAAGAGGTGTGGTGGTAGTACTCAGTGGGAGTGAAGGAGGAGGAGAGCAAGATTGCTTGTAAGGAAAAGTATTTTCATTAAAAATAGCAGGTCTGCAAATAATTATTTGGCAGGTATTAGGATTGAAGCATATGCAACCATTGGTATTAGTAGGATACCCTATAAACACACAAAAGAGAGGCCTTTGCTAGAGTTTATTCCTTTGAGAGGGAGGTAACCAAGGAAACATTCACAGCCAAAAAATTTTGAGATGATTGTAATAGGGTGGTTTACCATATAAGTGTTGATGGGGAGATTGAGAAGATATGGTTCGTCACAACTCTTAGAGTATTTTTTTTTTATTTGTATTGTATACAATCAAACTATCATTGCCTTCAACTTTTTTATATTTTTAATAGAACCTACACCAACACTTTTACCATTAATCATTCGGTTAATTCTTAACCTATTTGTTACTACTCTTTTTAACCTGAAAGATTAACTTTAACTCGGACTTCTTTCACAAAAATCAAAACAAATAATAATAAGTGATTTGCTGAAATTCCCTTACACGTTCTTCTTCATTTTTCCTGTAGTCACCTACATGGCTTGTACACAATTTAACATTCATACCTAATTCCTGCATCATTAACCTCTTGCCCTATTCCCTGTCCACCCCACACAGATGAGCATTCGCCTGTCTAGCCAGCATAAACCTGAACAAGACTACATGTTTAGGGTCAAGACCTCAACAGAACTGCTTAAAAATGATCCTCATCAACTTGCATGGATCCAGCTTTAGATTCTTATCAATATTACTTGCTAACTAATTGATGAACAAATATTTTGCCGTGTGCTTCTCCTAGAACTCCTTGCTCTGTACACAAACATATCAGATGCCACATAGTAAGGTAAGCAAAACAACAAGGTCCAATTGTCCAAAGAAGTAGAACACAAAAGAGTATCCCAATTCAATAGCAATAAAAGAACTTTGATAATTACCTTAATTTGAATAGGCTCGCAATCTAATTTAGTCCCAACAGAAACAAGTAACAAACTTTGATGGAGATCCTAAATGTATGGGATAACTTCCCTGCCGATCCTTTGCTTTCTCAACTCTTATTTTGCGAGAAAAGAATGAGTTGGAAATAGAATAAAAGAGAGAGTATCATTCTATGAGAGAACTGAGGTAGAGGAGCCAGTTCCTAGGAACCAAGGGCAATATCTTAGCTGCAAATCGTTATAAAAACACACTTCATACCCTATTTATAGAAATAGATTTTATAATTCAAATTATAACAAATCATAGCTTCTTAAGCTAATTTTAAATCTAACATTATCATGTATTTAAAAATTAAGATTACCAAAAGAATAACTGCTGCCTAAATTAAATAAGCATAAATCTAATAAAATAAATATAATATAAAATGTAGACATGGGTCTAGCCATGATTCTTGATTCCATGTGCTGCATAAACATTATTTAGTGCCAACGAGTAGGCCATATCCCAAACTAGCTACAAGTGCATAATCTACGATGTGTTTATAATGCAGATCTAACATACAATATAAATTTATATAAAAATAATGAAATGATGAAGCAAAGGTACAGCTATTATTGGCACATAGATTTCTTAATAACCAACAAATGCAATAAACATATATAATCTTCATAACAAATAGGCAAATAATCTTTATACAACTATTCGGCATTCAATAAAAATTTATTGTAGCTTCATAAAAACGAAATGTTAAAAAAAAATTAAAAAAATAAAAAAAACATCTATAAATTCATTGGATCACTTCCCTGAAGCTTCTTATTTTTGCATCATGGTTTATAGTACTATGTTGTTTTCCTTAACTTCAACTAAGTAACAACTTATTGCAAGATAATTAATTAATATAACTTTAACTTGACAGCAAGAATGCTTACAAAAGAGATGATCTTCCAAGCTTCCCTTTGGCATGAACTCATAAACCAAGAGTCTTTGATCTCCCTCGGTGCAGTAACCAACCAAGTTAACAAGGTTTGAATGCTGCAGAGTGCTCAATATGAGAACCTCAGTCAAGAACTCTTTGGCTCCCTGCAGCCCTTCAAGATTCAGCCGCTTGATCGCTACGATCTGCTCAAGGCATTGTAAGTATCACATTATTGCAGAAAGATTCATCAAGAATATCCTTCGGAGAAGCACACAAGGCAAAATAAGCGAATCAACAAAGAATCAAAACATTAGAACTACAACTTTCCTGGCCTGATTCTAGTCTCCCGCTGTAGACTTTTCCAAAGCCTCCTTCTCCGAGCAAATTGGACTGCTTAAAACTCTGAGTAGCAGTTGCAAGATCCTTGAAGGTGAAAGAAACCGCACAGCCGGTAACACCGCCATCCGTTGGCTGCTCCTTGCTGCGCTCTGTGCGCGCAAGAAAAAACAATTAAAAACCATTTTTACAAAAAGAAATACGAAAAATAAACTAATCGTTAGATTTCATGATACCCAATGATTCAGCGTGACCACGTCTGCTATCGTCAATCCTGCTGCTCGTCTCTCTTCGGCGCGGATGTAAGCAAGAAAACAAACAGCCCATCTGGTCTCTTCCCGAACTAAAACAAAACTGCTCGGTCGGAACAACTTAAACCCTAACTCTCCATCGCAATCTGGACGAAGAAACGCTAGAATTCTCCCCAGATTCCCTACTCCATAACCATTGAAATAGCCTAGATACCACTGTCGAGATTCCCAAAAATCACTCTGCAACCTCCGCAGAACAGTCCAAGGATTACCCGCGGGTCTCGATTGAAGTCACAATCACATCACAACTTACCAAGTAGCTTTAACAACATTGGAGCACGAGCAGCAAAATCACTATCCCACTGAACAAGCAACAAAACTTTCAGAAACCGCAAAACCAACGAGCTGCCATTGCTGAAAATAATCTTCAAATAGAGAACTCAACCCGGAAACTTGTTAACCAAAGGAAACAAGTGGGAGTGGGAATCACGACATGATTGACCTAAGAAATGTGAAATCTCACCCTGCAAGGAAGAAAAATCTCCCGAAGGGTTCCGTAATCTGCCGGAAACTGCGCTGCACTAAAGTCTCAGTGGACACCAGCAAGGCTTGCTTGGCGGTGAGGGAGGGCCCATGGGCGTACGGTGGCGCCAACCAGAAGTTTGTAATAATGTCGTCGCCATTATGTTGCTGCAATTTTTATTACCATCTCTGGTAGTTCAGCTAATCTGGAATTCCATGGAATGGGGAATTAAGGGCAATCCTTCCGACAATTTATTTAACAAATAATTAAATAAATCGTCAAAAAATAAAATGATAATAAATATTAAAATTATTAAAGGATATAATAATAATATCAATAGATGTTGCATATGATAAATGTTCTCAATATACTACGAATATGTTTTTAATAGCTAATATCAAGTTTTTCAAATAAAAAATAATATAATAAAATAGTAAAGGTAAGGTAGATCTATTATGGATAATTATTGAGAGAAGGCTTGATAATAGTTTTTTAATCTCGTCAAAATCTATAATTAAGGAATCTTCGCCTACATTTCATTCCAATGTTGCTCGAATAATGCAAAACCCATTTGATTTAATTTGATCAATTTAAGTAATTGTGATCGCACAATTACTGAATATAAAATTAACATATTAGTACTTATGATCAAATCATCTTAAGGAGCACTGTTAAAAAAAAAATTAAATGAAAAAGTAAAAAAAAAAATTAAATGAAAAAGTAAAAAAAAAAATTGTTTTGATCAAGTTTATAATAGTACATTTTTTTAATTTTATGGCAAATAAGGTCTAAATAATATCCTCACAAAAAATGAGGTTTGTTGAATACGAAGATGGCGTAGGGTTCTGTAATGACTGTATGTCATGTTATATCATATTGTTTTATGTCATGTTCGACAGTTTTATGTCATGTCATTCAGTTCAACTAGTTATACTGCTGTGCAGTTCAACCATTTTTTCAGTTTGACAATTCAGCTAATTTTTCAACCTCACAATTAAACTAGTTTTTCTACTATGTAGTTCAACTGGTTTTATTGCTAGGTAGTACGGAGAGTTTTTCTGTTAGACAGTTCAAACACTTCAGCATTTGAGTAGTTTTCCGGTTTGACAGCTTGGCAATTCAACAACTAGGTAATTGGGAAGCTTGGCAATTTGACAATTTTGTAGCTGGCCAGTTTGGTGATTTAGCAACTGGGAATTTCAACAATTAGGTAATTATGCAGCTGAGCAATTCAGCAATTCGACAGCTGGGATATTCAACAATTTGACAGATGGGCAATTTAGTAACTAGGTAATTCAACAATTTGGCAGCTGAGCAATTCTTTTAATGCGCAAGTTTTATGTCATGTTCGACAGCTTTATGTCGTGTCCTTCAGTTCAACCAATTCTTCTAATGCGCAGTTCAACCTATTTTTCTGTTAAGCAGCCAACCAGTTTTTCAGTTTGATAATTCCACTAGTTTTCAGCCAAACAATTAAATTAGTTTTTCTACTATGCAGTTCAACTAGTTTTATTGCTAGGTAGAACAATCAGTTTTTTCTACTAGACAGTTCAAACACTTCAACAATTGAGTAATTTTTCAGTTTGACATCTTGAAAATTCGACAACTAGGTAACTAGAAAGCTGGGCAATTTGATAATTTTGTAGCTAATCAGTTTAGCGATTTAGCAACTGGGCAGTTCAACAATTATGTAATTAGGCAGCTGAACAATTCAACAATTCGACAGCTGGACTATTCAATAATTTGACAGATGGACAGTTCAGTAATTGGGTAATTCAACAATTTGGTAGCCGAACAATTCATCAATTTGACAACTAGGCAATTTAGTAATTTGGCAGATGGGTAATTCAGCAAATGAGTAATTATGCAGACGAACAATTCAATAATTTAATAGTCTGGTTGCTCGGAATGTCTTTATTGCTCATCCTTATAAGACAAACATACACTTTATTTATCCAAAAATGCATTTGTTGATATAAATTAAAACTTTTCTTAAAATAAAAATGTTATATTTCACTATGTACTTATTATTCATTTATCTAGGAGCTTTTAACACTCCCACAAAGAATCATCTCGGGGGCACATTGGCTACACCTACAGGATTTCATCCTAGGGTCATTAAAACTACTTTTAGATACTTATAATTGACTAGATGGTCTCACACTAAGAGTTCCTCAAGTACATTATTAATAAGAAATAAAATTTGTTCTCTTTTTTATGCGATTAGATGTATTGTTTCATTGTAATTTAACTCAGCTATAAATAAATTAAAATAGTTTTGTTAAACTCAGACAATCATTTTCCTTGGGGAACTTTGGCTACATCTATAAGAAGTAGCCGTCGTATTTTTTCAGCTTTATATAGAATGAGATCTCATGGTCTTCAATCCGTAAGTTAAATAATTTTATCCTTTATTCAATCAAGTTATATTTCAGATATGATTTTCCAAAATTGTTCCTAGCGTTCAACTATTGAGGCGAGTAAGGTTTAAAATTTTGGACGATTTTTTTTTAATGAAGATAATAAACTTTTTTTCTCGTGACTCATCAAATATTCCTAATTCGAGATGATGTTTTCAACAAGACTATAATTTTTTTCACTCTGCAGAGCATTTGACTGTTTTGTGTGTATTACATTCTTGTGGGCTTTTAGCTACTAGTACGAAGCTGGCCGGGGTCTCCGATCTTCTTGGGAGAATAGTCTCCGTTCTTTTGGTATCATCCAATCTTTGTAATTTCGATGAGCAGTTTTGATATTTTTTATTATTTATTTATTAATAATAATTTTTTTTTTCTATAAAAACAAGATTAGAGCGACATGATTATTGATTTAAAAAATTAAGGTGTTCATGAAAATTTATATAGAACAAATATATATTAGAGTTTAAAAGATTTTAAAATGAAAGATATAAGGATAAAATATTTTATTTTTCCTGGTGAATAATCCTCTACTACTATCTCTATTGTTTCTTCAAGGAGTTTATGCGTAACTTTAGATTTAAGCATATGCTCATACTCACGGCTGCACCCTTCAGAATGTTAAATCATTTTTAGGAGGTAAGGTCCCGTAATATTCATGAGCATATACAACTCAGTAAAAGATCATCCGTCATGAGAAAAGTGCCCAAGTGGGAGAGAAAGATAAGACAAATGATCATGATGATGAAGATCAAGATGAGAACACCAATGAGGAGAGAGATCCAAAACTAAATGTCTCTTCCCCCAACCCCATTATACATGATTAGGTAGAGAATTATAAAACAATCTCTATAGTACATCTTATACTATATTTTTGAAAATTTTCTAACATCTTGATAGGAAATCAATGTCGTGGTCATGACACATCGCTGACTGATGCCAGAGCTTGTCGGTACGACAACTATCTACCATACCTGGGTAATGAGATTGAATATCAAGTGTCGGGCGATATATTTAAATAAGAGAATGACGGATCTCCGGGGCAACTCTGATAACCTCCTCGAATTGCTGCCTTAGCAGAGATAGATTTAAGTTCTTTTTTTTAGGAAGATGGGCACAAGCCAGATCCATCACTTCGACAAATGGGATCAATTCAATCACTTTGACATATGAGTTCTACTCATCCATTTCAACAAATGAGACAAAAAAAAAAAAAAATGAGTTCTACTCATCCATTTCAACAAATGAGACAAGAAAAAAAAAATTAAAATATCTCATTAAATCATTATTTGTTCATACAATTATCCTTATTAACTCTTTCAAAGTAGAATACATATTTTAATGCACATGTTTTGATGTGATTTTGATATCAAAATATATACATATTAATATTAAATTTCTAGTCTTAGAAATGTAAGTATATAGAAATGGTATGAATTGCATGTAAATTTTTCAATATATATATTTTTTTTATGAACCCAAAATACTAGAGCTGGTATGAATTGCATGTAAATTTTTCAATATATATATATATTTTTTATGAACCCAAAATACTAGGAGCTATACATCGTTACTAGGCTATTCAGAAGTCTAACACTAACTACATTTAATGACTTGAATAACTTATGTAATTATTTTGATTTGCAAGTGATGGGGTACGGTGTACCAGTGGATTTAGTGGTTGGAATGATTCTCATCAATTCTTCGCTGAGAAAATACTATTAAACTACAAACAACTTGAATCAAGTGAGCGGGGGAATCTCAGAAGATCTGCGAAGATCAGTGATCAAAATGGCAAGCGGCGCTGCAGGAGGAAAAAGAAGATTGGAGATCGGAATAATATTGATTGCATGGATGTCACTGGTATTGGATCTAGTGCGTAAATCCCTAAAATGCAGATTCCGTGCAGCTGCTGGAGTTGAAGATGAAGGCATTGATGAGATGTATTACAGAGTGAAGAATCACGATCATAATGTACCTGGGCTGGGATTGACGGCGAGGATCGGGAATGGAACGGATGCGTGCGATTGACGATAGAGCTGTACGAGATTTGTGGGATCGAAGCAGTTGCGTGACAGGATCTGGGATCTAGCACGATCTCGGATGAATGGGACACGTGAATAGGAAAGTCTGAGCCTAGGGTTGGCCGGCAGTGAGATCGAGTCGAGTATTGATTGGTTCGGATTGGAGCATATGTGATCTGCGATGGAAAATTTGTTTCCGTGGATCTGGTTGGGATATGTGACGGTGAAGAAGATCCGATGAAGATGGCGTAAATCATGAGCTTGCAGGAGATGGAATGGCAGATATCGACGGAGACGGTAACGGGAGGAGTTCTTGAGGCGGATGTGAGCGGTGGCGCCACCTCACCGGTGAACTTGAGGAAGAACCGATTATTCCGACTCCAGTGAATCTCGGGGATGAAATCAAAATTAGTAAATTTAGGGTCCGTTTGTGGCAGCTTTTTTGGTGCAGTGACGTTTTGAAAATGCACTTAACTGTTTGATTAAACTATGTTTTGACAGCTTATGCATTTTCAAGACGCTGAAAACTTCAGCACCGCACCTACCTGTGACAGCTTTCTGGCAGCGGTCTGACTTTTCAAAAAAAATAAAAATTCGTAATAGTCACCGCGCCTAGCTTATCAGCAGATTATTTTTAATCAGTTTATCAGTAGATTATTCAATAAACTGCAGCTGCTCCAAACAAACTCTTAGATACATGCAAGACAATTGTTATGTATTGGTATATCTAAAGTTTTATATTTACAATTATATCACTTAGGTTATAAAATTATATGAAAAAGAGTACTATGTTTTTAAAAGGTTATTAATTGTGAGTGATTTGTGTGATAATAATGTTTAGGAGTTAGATATGTAAAAATATAAGAATCGTGAGGTATGTATGTAAATATCTTGTCGTAATGACTACAATGATCGAAACACAATTTGGTTTAAATTGTTTGGAAAATACTGTTTTGTATTTATTGCTTGCGAGGTAAATCCAATCATAATTTATCAAGTTAATTTCATTCACAATAGCATATGATAATTTGAGGTGAACAATGACTGAATCATAAGAAAATTCAAATAATATATAATATCGGTTAAAAAAATAAATTTGTCTGCAAAATTAAAAACTATGAGCTTATAGTTTGACACTCGAAATGACATTAACATCATCAAAATAAATACAACACCAACAACAACAAAAACAATGCTACAATCATAAAATCAAATAAAAAAATAAAGTTTTCACAATAAACTTCAATTCTTTCACATCATTTCTCGTTGTATCATCAACCGACCAAGAGAGTGACGAACCAACCGAAGGCAAGCCAACCTACAGAAGCCCAACAAGACAACCAAAGCCAAGCACAACCGACTGAAAGGCTGTCGAGCAACATACTCTTATATGCAAAAGATCATGATATAATGTTCAACCCTTCTCAAGCAAGAGGATAAATATATTTTTTTATATAGATTCATGCTATCCTCTATAAATAAGAGGGAACTTTTATGTATTAGGAATTCTTGGATCATCTATTGTAATTTCTTACTTACAATGATATAAAAAAGGTCATAAATACCTGTGAATATTCCAGTTTGTTCAATAAGGGCAAGTCGTGAAGCACTCCTTCAACACACACACTTTCTCTCTCATTCTACGCTCTATAATTTGGGTCTCTATTCCTTGGGCCCGATTCAAACGACAACTTCAAATTCAACATTAATATTCACATTTATAATATTCAAAACTTTGACATTGCATCAAATGATTAAAAAATTTCATTATTTATAACAATTAAAAAGTGCATTGATACATAGTTAAACTAATATAAATATATAAAATAAATAAATTTAGATGTTAAGTATACGAATAAGAATTGTGTGATATATAAAATAAATAAATTTAGATGTTAAGTATACAAGTAAATAAGGTGTGGTATGCATCTAAATCTTCCAAGAAGTTATTTTATTTTTGTAACAAGAATAAATCATTAGCTGTTGAAGACATAATTGTGTAATTATTATGTATTTAAATTCACATTAGTAAATAAATTAAAATAAAATGAGCTGAATACAATATGAATGTTCTCCTTATTCTCAAATCAATCAATAAATCTAATACAATGCACACATGTTGAATACAATCAAACCAATGTCTATTTAGGTTCAAGTTCTTTAAAATTTGGGCTCAAATTAATTATACATTTGTGGTCATATTCCATACTTTAGAAATAAATTCTATAATAGTGTGTTTGGTGTGACCATAACTTTTAAAAAAGATGGTTATAAAGTTATGGGAAGTAAATAAATTTTTAGAAAAGTGTGATGAGATTATAAATATATAGTTTTTTCAAAAATTCAGATAGCAGTTTTCTTACAATCACCACATTTTAACATGTCATATTAAAAAAACAGCTTCCATCCACTGAAATTTTCAAAAGTAATTCCTCAGACTGAATTATGGTGGCGATCTGAAACGCAAAACAAACATAAAGTTGTCCCAAATCTATTGATATGTGGAACAAGAGTTGTTTAACAATAATGAACATTTTTTATAGCCAATAATAATAGACGAATTAGAACCAAAATGTAAAATTATGCCATGTATTGAAATAAAAAGATCATGACAAAAAGGAAGATTTACATGAATACCGCTCAATATCTATGTTACTATGTATACACATCTCTAATACATAAACTTTATTTTTTGCATATTTAAACAATAAAAGAGTTTTGTATTTTTACATTATATGAAAATTTTAGGCTTTAGATATTAAAGAACCAAATGTCATGTTTCTAAATATGCAAGTTTTGACGTATGATATGTAAATATAAAGAAATTATGTGCTATATATGTAAATACCCCAAATATTTATAGAGTTTAAAATATAAATATTAAGTCAAGAGTTCAATAAAATTGCCAGTTTTAAAATATATTCTTCTTTTAAAACATATTTTCCAAGTCTTATATCTTTATTATTTTTTGATAAAATACTATTCCAAAACTAATTTTAAAACTACAATCAAATCAATACAATTGTTATTTTTTTATCCCACATAATTATATGCATAACACAAGAAATATTATAAATCAAACATCAATGTGATTTTTTGAACTATGAAACAGATAGATTTAGGATGTCACGATCAAATCATTGTGAATGTGATAAAAATGAAAAAGATGGGTTGAAGTTTTATCAGGGTGATAATTTGAAAAATGGGTGAAAGATAGTGCTTGATTTGTAAATAGGAGTGTTTTGGGTGGCATGTATGTAATTGCCTCCTTTTATTTTTGAATGAATTTAATTAAAAAGCACAATGAAAGCTGCTATTTTTGGTACACTTGGACCAGCAAGAGTGTTTTTTTTTTGAACAGGAGAGAAGAAAGAAGAGGAGGAAGACGAAATATGTGCATATCTGCCTGGATTTGGCTAGATCATCCAAAGTATTCGCTTCTTCTCTTGTCCAATCGGGACGAGTCCCATGACAGGCAAGACGATCTCTCCTACACCTTAAATAGTTTTGATGAATATGAGGTGATATTTCCTAATTTTCTTTCTAAAAATTCATTTTTTGTCATCGGACTGGTATTCGTATGCAGGCCTACAAGGCCAGTGGAGTGGTGGGAGGGCGATGAGAAGATTTTGGGAGGTAGAGATGAGGTAGCTGGAGGAACATGGATGGGATGTACAAGAAATGGAAGAATTGCTTTCCTTACCAATTTTAGGGAACCGGAACCTTCTTCTACGGCAAAAAGTAGGGGATATTTGACTCTTGGATTCTTGCAGGTATTTGTTCGATTAGGTTTTGGTTTGGTGAACTTAGGTCAACTTCTGCGACGGGATGAATACACAACACCCAAACTGTAATGCTTTTTTCTTAGTTCTTGTTCATGATTACATAGATATTGTTTTAATTTTGTTGTTTTTACTCTTTATTTAGCTTTACTTTGCGTGGCTGGTAAGTACTTGATATCTACACGGTATGCTTCATTCAAAGCTCTTAATTTTATCTTGCTTTGTGCTACATGGAAATTGGCTTAACCGAATTTAATAAAGTATATGCTTTTGAATAACTGGGAACCATTGTTTGTCTTAAATATGAGCTTAATGGAGATGGCATCTTCCAGCCATTGACACCTTATTTGGTTGTGCACTACAAGGTTTGTGTGCTGTTATTTTTGAGATTCAAATATCAAAATAAGAATACTAGTTTGAAGATGGTGAAGGTGAAATATGATCTATAAGGGATGGAGGAGGCTTTATTCAATCACATAGTTTGGCTTCTAAACTATAACACTCCTGTTGCAATCTACTTTATTGTATTGAAAGGAAGTTTAAATTTTCATATTTGGCCAGTGTTGGATCCTGATTTGTCCGTGGACTAGCACATCCAAGGAAAGAGTATGAATAATGAATTTGAACTATAGAACGGTGAAATGATTCGCTAGAAAATGAGCCTAGTACAACACTTTGGATCCCCTATTTTCTGTAATGGTTGTCTTAATTTATAGATGGCACGGCTCATATGTTATGAATATTATAAGTAATACAGTTATGACACACTGATCTCAATGGATATCATTTTATATTTATTCTCCTCTCCTAGTGTGGGGTGTTATAATATTCTTCTAATAACATCTTGTATTGGTAATTACTTCGCATTCATGCTTCTCCTGGGATATTTGACCTCTCAGGAAAATTTATGTTTGAGAGTGTTGTTCACTTGGATGAGTTTATTTCCCAAATGAGTTCATCTCATAGAAGAGTTGTTATCCTGGATGAGTTCATCTATTAAGAAACTTATTTTCTTGGACAAATTAATTGGGTGCATGCCTTTAACATGGTATAGGAGCTTTCAACCATACAAATATATCTTTCTAATTCTCTTGTATCTTTTGAAGTCAACTACGAAAAAATTAACAAAATGATAATAAAATTATTCATCTTTAGTGATGGAAATTATGCGTTGTTCATCTCTATAAGGTGGGCATGTGCTCTCATGTTTAAAGAATAAATTCGTCAAATGTTGTACTTTTTCTTAAAGATAAACTATTCAAGTAAAAATACTTGTAGCTCTTATTTTGTATTTTTTTATAAGGAATCATTTTGGGCCGCTTTGGCTATACCTGCAAGACTTCTTTCTAGGAGAATTTTGTTGCATATTCATGGTGTAGTCTTGTAACTTGTCAACTTAGTTTTATTGTTATATATTTTTTTATTTAGTTGTTTATTTAATTGGCTTGATATACCTTGAGTGTTTGTAGTCAACTGCATTTTTCTATAAGAAATTTCATCTTCTTTGTAAGACTAGATTGATTATTTTTTGTGATATAACTCAGTAATAAAAGAATTTAGATCATCTCGTTAAGTTCGTACTATCATTCTTTTAAAATTTATAGCTCTCTTATAAGGACTTGTCATCGTAACTTTTCAACTTTACCGACACCGAGCTTTTATGGTCTTCAGTTTTCTTGTTAACTAACTTCATTATTTATTTAACTGAGTTATGTTTGAGAAAGAGTTTCTCCAAAGCTGTCCATAGTGTTTGACTATTCGGCTGAGTAGGGCCTAAAGGTTAGATGAATATTTTTACTCTAAGCAAACTAGATTACAACAGGTGAGTTTTCTGAAATATAAATCAGAAGAATTTTTTGAGTGTTATTTGCGAACTCACTCCATATGTTATGTATTGTATGCATCACTTATTATATATGCGTAACGTTCATAAAATATGAGCTAACCTATCAATAAATAAATATAACCTTTATAATAAAGGTGGATCACTAAACATTGTACACGACTTATTATCTAGTGAATTTTTCTTCTATTCAATCAAGTGGTCGTGTGTTTAAAGCCCTGCATATAAGAGTTGCGTGTGTTTGCGTGTATGTGAGAAAAAAAACACACACACTTAGGGTCTGTTTGGGACAGTTTTTTTGTCTGTTTTGCTTTTCAGACCACTACTACAATTCTATTTAAAGAACTATTCTCTTGTTTTTCTCTTAAATTTCTACGGTAAAAGTAATTTTTTTCAATTTAAGCTATTAAAGTGTGGTGACTTTCTACGGTAAAAGTAATTTTTTTCAATTTAAGCTGTTAAAGTGTGGTGACTGTCAGAAAACTGTAGTTTGACTTTTTGAAAATAAAATAAAATTGTAATATCCACCATAGGTTTTTGAAAAACTGTTTTTTCTGCAGCAGCTTCACAACTGTTTCTCAAAAAGTAGCAGCTGTCCCAAACAGACCCTTAATCTGATGCTTAAAAGAAATGATACCTACTAACATTATCATTTTTAAGCCGGGGTGCTGTGTTAAATAAATAAGAATTATCACATTATGGATGAATGCAAATAATAAATTAGTCCATGAAAATAATATTAGGATAAGAAATTTAAATGCATGTACTCTCACTTCTAAATTAATGAAATTAGTAGATATTATAATTCATAAGAAGATAAATATCTTATGTATTCAAGAAACTAAATATGCTTGAGAAAAAAACTAAGAAAATTGATGTTTAGATTTTAAGCTTTGGTATTCAGTAGGAGTCATACTAAAAATGATGTATGTGTAATTATAGATAAGAATTTAAAAGATCATATTGTAAAAATTAGTATAATTAGAGATAAAATTATAACTCTAAAGATTATTGTTAATACTAAGATTCTTAATATCATAAGTGCTTATGTTTCCCAAGTAGGTTTGAATTTATATTTAAAAGAAAAATTTTGGAATGACTAGAAGAATTAATACAGAAGATACTTTTTGAAGAAAAAAATTTTATTGGAGGAGATTTAAATTGATATGTTGGTAGAATAATAGAAGATTTTAGAAGTATTCATGCAGACTATAATTTTAGAGTGACTCATATTGAAATTGTTTTACTATTACCAATACTTTATTTAAGAAAAGATATGAGCATATTATCACTTATAATGATTGATATGATAAAACACAAATTGATTATTTTCTCATTAAAAAAATAGATTATCGAGGTTGTAAGGAAATTAAGATCATTCCAAATAAAACTTGAAGTATTCAATATCGATTAATGGTTTTGGATTTTAAGATAAAAATGCAATGAAATATTATCATAGGATTTGATGGGACGCTTAAAGACTTTAATAAAATTATTTTTATGAGTAAATTTTAAGTCCTTAAAATTCGAGACATTCATGAATCATGAAGAAACAAATATTGTGGTATAAAATAATGAGCACTATTAAGCATATTGTAAAAGATGTGTTTGGATGATAGAAAACACAAAACTCTTATGAAAAAACATATTTGGTGGCGGATATGCAAAAAAAAGGATAAAAAATAAAAAAAATTTGTTACAAAAATTGATTTAAATGTAAAAGTTTGGAGAATTGAGGAAAATGTAAGGTGATCTATAAGGAGTTTAAGAGAATAATTTGTAATGCTAAAAATTTTACGTTTAATGATTTTTATAATAAATTAGATACTAAAGAGCTTGAAAGATATGTATAGACTAACCAAAAGAAAAGTAAATATTTAGTTCAAGCAATGTATATTAAGAATAAAAATCAAGAAGTGTTTTTTTAGATGAAGACAAATGTGTGAGATTTTTTGATTAACTTCTCAATGAAGATTGTGAAAATACCGTTGATTTTAGTGATCTTAATATCATAAATAATAAAAAAAAATTTATATGCATCTTATGTGTAAAAATACAACTTTTATTTTCATCGTTGTATTAGTAAAACAGAAGTTGATTAGGATTTAAAAAAATAAAGTGTGGAAAAACAATAGGATCCGATGATATTCCAATAAAAATGTGGAAATGCTTAAGAGATTTGAGAATTTTTTTGGTTTATTAGATTTTTTAATATCATTTTAAAAACAAAAAGAATGTTTTATGAGTGGAGAAAGAGTTTATTGTTTCTATTTTAAGAATAAAGGGAACCTACAAAAGCGTGCAAATTTTAGAGGAATCAAGTTAATGTCTTGTACATTAAAACTATTGGAGAGAGTAATTGAACATAGGTTATGACGTGGTATAAAATTTCTCAAAATTAGTTTGGATTCATGCCGGACAAGTCTCCTATGGAAACTATAAATTTATTGAGAGGTTTGATGAAAGTGTATAGAGAGGTAAGGGGGGTCTATATATGATTTTTGTTTGATTTTAAGAAAATCTTATAATAAAGTTCCAAGAGAAGTACTTTGAAGAAAGGTGCTGACATTGCCTATATTCAAGTCATTGAAGATATATATACTAGAGCTGTTACTTGTGTTCTAACACAAGGAGGATTGACCAAGTATTTTTCTGTTTTAAAACCATATTTGTTTACTTTAGTTATGGATTTTCTTGCTAGACATTTGCAGGAGGATGCAACTTGGTGTATTTTCTTTGTTGATGATATTCTTGTTGTGGATTAGACAAGAGAGTTTTCAGGAAAAACTTAAATTATGGATGCCAACTTTAGAGTCTAAAGGTTTTTGTTTGAGTAGATTTAAATTTGAACATATGGAATGTAATTTTAATAATTATAGAACTAGTAATAGTAGATCTAGTGGTGAGGTTATAACAATGGGTAATCAAGTCATTTAAAAGGAATGGAGATAATAGATATTTCGGGTATATTGTTCAAAGTGATGGTCATATAGATGGGGATCTTATTTGTAGAATTCAAGTTAGATAGTTGAAGTGCAGGAAAACATCGGGCCTTTTATGATAGAAAAATGTTGCTTTGGCTTAAAAGGAAAATTTTATAAGATGGGGTTGAGACCTGCAATGTTTTTTGGGATAGAATGTTGGCCTAGCTTAAAATTAAGTTAGGTTTTGTTGAGATGAGAATGTTCAGTTGGATGAGTGGTTTTACACTTAGAGACAAAATGCAAAAGAAATATATCCGTGAAAAGGTTGGAGTAGCTCTAGTGGCAAACAAGATTAGAGAGAGTCACCTTAGGCTGTTTGGTCACATTAAACATCGGCCATCTGATGATCTTGTTAGGAGAGTAGATATTTTAGATTTGAATTATGCTAAGAAAGATAGAGGTAGGCCTAAAAAGGCTAGGACATATTGTATAAAGCATGATCTTAATTTATTAGAATTAAATGAAAATATGACACTCAATAGGACACAATGGAGAAAAATGATTCATGTAGCCGACCCCACTTAGTGGGATAAAGACTTGCTCGTCCCTACATGTAATTCCTTATTCTAACTCATTTCTTAAGTGTACTAGTTCACAGACAAATCATAATCCAAAACTAGTTTATTTTCTTATAGCGCCAAAAGAACATGGTTTAGGATAAATGAAATGGACCAAAGCCAACTATGGCTCAACATGACTAAATCTTAGGGCATGCATGTGATCAAAACACTAGTTTTCCGACAACCCGTCATGTTCTAAGCCAAAAATGTCCAAAAATAATAGCAATTGATTAATCAGAGACAATTGCACCACAAACAAAAGCCCTATCAATGGGATCATAATTTGCCTCTGAGTAGCGCAGAAAAGGCTAGCTCAATAAACCAAATAGCAGTCCATCGAACACCAACCAACGAAAACAAGAGAAAAGCCATAGTTGGGCATTCCAAAATAGCAACCAACTGAAAATGGCGAGGCCCATCTTGCCTGAAACTAGGCAGTCAAGTAGTCAACCAAGTGTTAGAAATCAATGAGTTACCAAAACAAGCCAACAGCTAATAACAAAAGAAGGAAAAACGAGAATCATCAATCTCCAATAAGACATTAAATCAAGATGAAACTGAGATCTTCAAAGCACCATAGAGTTGGGTTCAAGTGTGGCGCAGGAGAAAAGTTTTTTCAAATGGGAGGCAAATGATAGTAGATTCATGCTTTTGATGACAAGGGCTATAAGGGTTAACCAAAATCTTACCTTTGTAAGAGCTTCAACAGTTCTTCTGGTCACCACTTTAAAACTAACCAATAAATTATAAATAAATTAATATTGTGTGTCGATGGCTAGCCCGTTTGGCTCAACCGACATCAGGGAGATAAAGCATAAAGAATTCTAGTGGGGGACTGGGGTGACTTATGCCTACTTCTATTCAATTGGTGCATGCCATTATACTTTATAATATTAGATCATCTCTGCTTTTTTTGTTGGGCCATTTACATGCATACCACCCATTTTCTATGTATTTACATATCTAGCTTCTAAGCTTTACCTTTTTTTATTACTTTTTTACCACTCAAATCTTTCACATCATATTAAAAATATCATTATTTTAAGTTTTAAAAAGTGAAATACACTTTTTCATGCATAGGTAAGGTGATAATTAAGTGGTATGTACATTAATCTTCCTTTTTTATTTTATTTTGTTCTTTATTTTATATACCACTTTTGAAACAGAGCCACATGAGTCCTTTGGAATATGCAGAGGACATAGCTAAAGAAGCAACTGAATACAATGGTTTCAACCTAATATTAGCTGATATCCACTCAAAAGTCATGGTTTATATTTCAAATAGACCAGTGGGTGAGCCTGCTTCAGTTCAGATTGTCTCTCCAGGTCTTCATGTGCTCTCTAATGCAAAGTTGGACACTCCTTGGCCCAAGGCAAGCCAATTAAGTTCTGCTAATCAACAGTCATTAATAAAGTAAAGTGCCAAAATAGTCCCCTGTCTATTTGAGTTGGTCATTTTAGTCTCAGAGTTTATAAAACTGCTAAATTAGTCTCTAGCTTGTTTTAATGTTCTCACCGGGGATTATTTCAATCAATATTAAAAAAGCCCGGGCGACAAAATTGACATTTTTATAAACTTTGGAGCTAAAATGATCCCCTGCAAAGAGTAAGGAGATTATTTTGACACCTCTCTCTTCATTAATATTAGCATTCCTTGTTTATTATCTATATTTCCTTGACATTCATGCATATGCTATATTCTGCTTTAGAACCCTATGGTTGGTGATCCCAATCAGTAAAACCTGACAGCACTAGGCCCTATTCCCCTTGCTTTGTTATCTGTACTGTATTGTTTTTTCCTAGATTTTTGTCTCATGGTCTCTTGATGGTTCTTGTTGCTGAACTCACTAATAATTATGTCCCAAAGGTGGTGCTAGTTTACTTCGATCAGTTTTCTACAGAATTCAAATTAGAAATATATAATATGAATTAATTTGCATGTGTAAATATTAAATAAATATTAATCTCTTAAATTATATTTAAGGGAAATTTACATACTACACAATTCTTATGTATTTTTTTACATATCTAACTCCTTAAATTTGATACTGGGTGTCATAAACCTATGCATGAAAAGGTTTGTTTCACTTTTAAAAAGATTGTGACGGTGGTATCTTTGGTTGGATGCTAAAGATTTAAGTGGTACAGATGCAATTGTGGATATTTAGGTGATAGATATGTAAACACAAGGATTGTGTAGTATGTATGCAAATGCCTCTATATATAATTACTGTTCCTTGAAGTGATTTGTATTTAAGATTAGTATTATAACTGCTGATAGAATAGTTATATAATGATTTATTCAAATTATGAATTTATCTCAAAATTTGCTTGTGAATTAATCAGTGCTATATCTAAAGTCTGCAAATAATATTTTTTTCATTACTTTGTATTCTTCATCGGCCCTTAACGCAGAGGTATGGAGGATTTTGACTCAGGACCTGATTGTCAATGGTCCGTCCACCACTGCTAATTCTAATGCATATCACAAAACGTTCTACTTTGGATGTGAAAAATGTTAGATATTTAGAAGTTTTACATACATACTACCCATTTCTCTGCATTTACACATCTAACATCTATAATTTAATTTTTTCATACATTCCACTTTACCTATATGTGAAACGGTGTATTTCTTGTGTCATTCCTGAATGTCATTAATCATGTGCTTGTTAAGTATTTGATATGATTTTGGAGATTTTTTGTAGGCCTTGCGGCTCCATGAGAACTTTAACAAACTTCTACGAAGATACGGTGAAGAACAAATCCCGGAGAAAGAGATAGTGTTGAAGCTTATGAGTGACGATGTTAAAGCCGATTTAAATAGATTGCCTGACACCGGTTGCGAACCTGAGTGGGAGTTCAATTTGAGTTCCATCTTTGTTGATACTGAGAGCAATAAGGTGAACTCAAGTGTATCTCCACTCCTATCAGTCAATCTAATTGAGAATTTTTTTAACACTTTTCCATGATTTTGTGCCTCGTAAGGGTCGATATGGAACTCGAAGCATGGTTGCGCTATCTGTGATATCGAATGGGGAGGTGAGCTTTTATGAGAGATATTTGGATGTAAATGATGGTGAGTGGAGAGATCACACCGTGGAATTTCGGATGGATGATGTGCTGCAAAAGGAAGATTAAGATCTTTCTCAGAAAACTGTGAGTTTTCAAGGCCACATTGCACTGCTATGCTGCAATTTCTTTTTATTGTTTGACAGGTGAAGCTCCTTCTTCAAATCAGTATAAACAATAAATGAAAATATGACACTCAATAGGACACGACGGAAAAAAAATTGATTCATGTAATCAACCCCACTTAGTCGGATAAATGCTTTGTTGTTATTGTTGATGTTTTGCACACTTAAAATTTAATATTTACGTACATTGCGCTTTGGTGCTTTAAACCTTTGCATGAAAACATGTATTTCACTTGTCAAAGGTCATAATAGTGTTATTTTGATGTGATGTTAAAATTTTGAGTGCTATGTGTGTAAACATAGAAGTTTAGATGTGAGATGCGTAAATGCATAAGAATTGTGTGCTATGTATGTAAATGTTTTATTTTTCGGCTTGCTGGAATTCCTGCAGTATGTTGTAATTGAAGTATAGTAGGTTATTTTCTTTCATTGATTTATCATTTTTTGTTGCAACTTTATATGTACATCCAAATCTTGTTTTCATGCTTGTAGCAATTGTTTTATGAATCTGCAGCCAATGATTTGAGATTCTTAATCCCTTTTGTTAGTCCTTTCCATGCCAGTTCCAGTAATTAATTAAAATTTTAACCAATCAGAGAAGGTACAAGTGCAATCATACTTTTTCCTGTGTCATATAAGCTTTTCTGAAACCTCCAATGATAGTTGGTATGTACTGATTCAATTGGCTCTGATCTTGATGTGAACCTCTGAGTGATCGAACATATAGCTTGAAGCATTGCAGTTATGTCTTGGTTTGTAAAATTGCTGGAAAATTTTGACAGATTGGGTTGCATTCCCCGCAGCTGCATATGCTCCTTGTCAACACTTAGAGGAAGTCTGTCGGCGCCGCACCATCACCACTAAGAGGCGAGCCTGTCTCCCATGACATCCAGCAATCATATGAGCACAATTTATATATTTTTTGATCAGTTATTTTATTTTATTTTGTAATTTTTCTGCATTTAGAACATTTTGATGATCATGACGATGGATTGGCTATTATTTCTTTCAAAATTTGTGGCCTGAATTATGTTGGACATTGGCCAAAAAGTTTGTGGTGAATGTGTGTGTGTGTTGAGAAATGTATTCGGTTCTTTCTTCCGTCTCTATTTGTAGGGTCTCTAAAATTGACCCGACATGTGAATTTAACCTGAACTTGAATAATTTTCAAGCTCAATTTGTGGTGTATGTGTGGTGTAAAGTATTCTTGTTTTTCAATTTGACTGGCCTGAAATCAATTTTATACGATTAGGTGGCTATCTAATGTGGTATAGGATGTTAGAGTCTTTTCCAATTCAGGCGAGATTATGCTTCCTTTGTGGGGTAGCTTAGCTTTGTAGCTAAGTTGTATTTTTACTCTTTCATCTTATAGGTTTTGTGTTTATACTCTTGGCAAGTTTAATCCCAGGTCTCCTTATGATTCAGTTACAATTATAATAGCTTAAATGTTTCTTTCCTTTTGCTTTGGATCTACTTGATCGATTTGGATAGAGCAACACATGGGTTGCTGACAAAGTATTCTTTGGCTATGTTTGATCAACTACCTTCACAATTTGTATAAATGAGGTTTCAATAGTTTGGGAGGATGGGTCCATGGAGCTCTGACTAGGCTATCTATACATGTTTAGATTTTTCTCTGACCTATCAATTGATTTGCCCTTTTTGAGCACAATCGTTTCCTTTATCGTGTCTTTGCAGACATGTACCATAGGCCCTCTCAACTCAAGGAAATATATCTGTCACATTACAGTGATTAACCCTCTACTTGGTGCTCTAGTTTTTCCCTGAAGACTGGAGGATTTCTCCTGTTGGACTGTCAAAAATCTTTTTTGACTGCCTCTATTTAAAATATTAATTTACAGCAAACATAGTTCTTTTTATCATTAGTGTTTCTGAGTTTTTCCCTAGAAAGTAATGATAATGAGGATACACCGTCGTGGGAGGTCTCTTGAACCCAAACAAAATCAATTTGTTTTTGTATTCTAGTTTGATTACAAGATCTTTCTATAGGATCTTTCTTGTATATTTTTTCGAGTAGAGCATGGTCTAATTTATGCTTGACTTCTCTTCTCTGGTTTATGTTACGATAAATTTTCTATATAAACATTTTTGTTGCTACTCTTTTTAGTTCTCCTTTATTTTTGTTCATTTCATTCTTACCTTTCTTCTTTAGGTGAGGGTTGCTACCTAGAAAAGAGGATTCAAAAGAGGACGTACGCTAAGAAGGTCATACCATTATGGTCAGAACAGAAAGTGGCACAAATTACAACAGTGTTGAATTTTTCTCCTCTAACTCTTTGTGATTCTTTTGGGTATTTATTGCCAACTTGTATTTTAATGTGAGGACGTGCTCCTTAGCACTTTGCGAGTCATCTTCCTGGTCCATGACATGGTTCTGCATGTCGATCAACTTGTCTTCAAGGTGCTTCACCTTGTCCTTAGTGACCGTCAGCTCCTCTCGAACTTTTGCAAGCTCTTCTCAAGTTCTTAAAAATTCTTCACTGCTCTTCTCAAAATCTTTTTGAGTTGACAAAAAATTATCTCCTGGACACTTTGCATGTCTGAAAGATTCAACACCATGAACTAGCAGAGATGTGGTTATAGGCTCTACTTTCAGCGGTCCAACTTCAACGATGAACACCGGTTCTTCCACTAATGGTGGTCTCTCAGAAGAAGTGAGTTTTACTCCTGAAACACTACTCATATGTGCATTAGACTTCTTTGCAACTCTTTAATCTACGAGATTGAAGCAATCAAAAAGTGTGAAACTATCTCATCGGTAATAAAGAATAGTCGGTACTACTTACATTAACATGCTCATCAGTGAATCATCAAATCTTATTCACTAGTTTTGTAGTTCAATCTTCCCTCCTCTCAGCATCGTCCATTACATAATCATTGAAAATAGTTGTGGTTTAGGCCGTCAATCAGCATATTTTTTTGCAATAAAAACAACTAAAATATTGAGAGCATAAAACATGAAAAACTAAGAAAAAGTGAAAGAGACGAACACATAGTTACCATAACTCAGCTCCGGGACCATAACTTTATCAGAACAGTCCCAGTTATTGAAAAGATTAGAAAATTATGCTCTGGCGATAGCTTTTGAAACAACAACCTCTGTTTCATCAGAAATAAAATCTGAGATTGCTAATACCGACATTTCCTCTGTAAACATTTCATTCATATTGGCTTTCAAGACATCATTCTAGGTTGTAGTGCTCTTCCTATGGTTATTATATAGTCCTTCCACATCAACTTGCTTTGAACTCTTGTCATCATCATTCTTTCATTTCAAATTCTGGGAATCTTTGGAATGCTTCCCTCTCTTCAATCTTTGCTACACCATCACTCTCAACCATTCTTCTTAGATAACCATATGTTTTTTAGAAAAATTTTCCATCGAAGTTGTATAGGAGTGGAAGTAGATTCCTGAGAATGGAGGAAGAAACAAGAGAGCACAACCTCTCAAGGAGGATGCCTTCGCCACACTAAATTTTGAAATGATCGTGCCACTGTGGACAACATACAAGGACTTAACACAACAAACCTTCATATATATAACTACAAAAATTAATTTTGTCATTACTGGTGTTATCTTCTTTCTTATAACAAGTTGAGGGTGCATTGACGGACAAAAAAATATCCTCATGGTGTTTATTTTAAATGATTTAATAGTTATTCGACAAGAATCCGAGAGAATCAGAATCAACACACCCACCATGATAGGGAAGTCTCAAACTTTTTATATTCTATTCCACCACTTCTCAGAAGTACCTATCTCCCAATGACTTAAATAAGTCATACCTCTCATAACAACATATGTTTTTGTCTTGGGTAGCTCGATAAGAAAATTTTTTTTAAATTCCCTATGGGTCATAAGAATAGAATGGGTTGCTTACACCACCTAAAATGTGCAGGCACTTGAATGAGAAATAATTCATAGTTACCTGAGTGCCCACCTCTACTCTCTGCAGCAGGCATGACCAATAAAGCTTATTGTTGGTGGGAGGCACCATTTTCATTGAATATGAATAAACATGTCACTAAACAAGCCCCACGGGCAAGGCACTTAATGCAATCTCGTATCATTCTAGTCGTGCATAACGGTATTTTATTCTCTAATTCCATTGTTCTTTTTGCAGTATTATGTGGAATAGTTAAGAAAATCATCAAACTAAATGTATATCCAAAAATAATTTTTCTTAAGCAACATAATAGTTCAGATACTAATGGGCCTTATGGGCCCAATAGGATCAAGCCCATTGACCATAAATTTAAGATCCTAATAATAACCGTGTTAATTGTACTCGTTAGTCATATCTTTGGAGGTGTCAAGCTACATAACTCCGATCGCCTAGAAGAAACCCACGATTACCTCTGAAGCACACATCATTCTTGCGAGTTCCTCAGAGCGAGCTCATCAAGCTTAGGTCTTCAAGAGAGCTCGATCACATCTTTTGATTTATTCTTCTGAGCTCGCTTGGACTGGTTGAACATTCCCACCAAGCTTGTCGACAACTATAAAGCAACATCCGGAGCTCAACGGGCAGTTCTTCATGGCAAAAGAAAGGTAACTTCAGTTAATTGACACACATATCAATATTTATTAACAACACGACAATTCAAACTAGCAGTCTTGTCAACAACGAGTTTGCTTAAGCTCCATACCATACGACTCACGACATACACCCCTGTGTAGATACATCAGTTCTATGACATACATAAAAGGGAACAAGGGAATAGGAAATCAGATCTTGAACTCTAAAAAAAACTCTCTTACTATCTCTCTAAGAGATTCCTTCAATTTATTCTCTTTTTTTTTTCACAAAGTCTCTCCCTTATTCTATGGGTTCACATATTATATGAGATCCCACATTCCAAAATGATTCAACAATAAATTATATGGCTAGTATTATATACGTTGCAAGCATAATTGTTACATGAAAGAATTTATTGTAATTAATAGAAGTAATGTTCATGAAAAATAAATACCACAACTACAAAATTCTTCATTAGACATGAATCCATGTAGCAATAAATCAAGACAAATATACTCATGCGTTCTACTATTTCATTATGAGCAATAAAATAGCTTTACATCTTGAGTATAATAATAGAAATGAAAATTCAAAGTAGGATTAGCAATCTTACAAAATATTTAGGAATCTAATACAAATGATAACAATAACAAATAGTACATTTATCCATCATAAGTAATAGTGACCTACGTTGAAGTAAGCCATACAACACTCTCATCAGTAACAGTAGCTACCCCGACGACAAAGCCCATTAGCTCATAAAATCTTAATATTAAATACACGTAAAATATATTGAAATTCAATATTTTAAGTGCAAATTTTTAATATTAAGCAATTTATTTTCAATTTTATTTCTAATTTTTAATCTTTTAAATAATTTTATAACTATAATTTCTTGAATTATATTTATTTTTCCTATTTTATAAATTAGTTTGCTCGTGAGCTCACTCAAACATGATTGATCAATTGAACTCAAGCTTAAGCTAGGGTTGACACGGGCTCAACTTAACTTGTTTACACCCCTATATGAGCCCAAAAGGTTGGATGAAATGGATTTATTTTAAGATTTTATTAACAATTTTGAAACATTTTCTTTGAAAAAAAGGTTATACACAAAATTATTGGAAACATACTTAACATAGACAAATTAACTAAATTTGAAGAGTAAAGTCTCTTAATTTCAAACAACATTTACTGCTTAACATGCTAGGATGATGGTGTGATATGAAACATTTTAGATTTCTATTTCTTTATGCTAACTAATATTTACAAGACATTTTTATTGATTATAATAATCTAAAAAATGTTTAAGTGCATTCATTTTAATCTCAATATTTTTTCTTGTGTTTAA